TGTGTGTGTGTGTGTGTGTGTGTGTGTGTGTGTGTGTGTGTGTGTGTCTTCTGTTCATGAACAGGAAGTAATGTGTGGGTCATCTCTCGGGTAGCTCAACCTATGTTTTGCCTCCCAGCTGGAAGTCAGCCGAGCTGAGCCACAGGCGAGGCCCGAGCTGAGCGTGGAGCTCATTAAGGGTCCACGACACTGGTGCAGGCCTTCTGGCCTCCGTGTGTGTGTGTTTCTGTCTGATATTGAGGTAGAAAAAAACTGTGTGAATGCATCTTCTAACATTTGTAAGAACCTTAATGATGTTTCCAGTTCTTATCTGGGGCTTACTTTGTGTGTCACAACAACATAATTCATCAGTGGACAAAGAAGTGTTTCTTGTTACCTCCTGTATGAGGCTTTTTCTCCTTTCTGAATGAATTCACATATCCAGCAGGCACACATTCTAAATTGGAGAGCAACCATGGAAAAGGTTTATTTGTGTTCAAACTGTAGCACGCCCTTTTATAAAGCTTCCTGTACAGGGTTTCCTAAACAGAAAAGAGAGGGTGTGTTCAGAGAATGCAGTGTGTTTCTGGGTCTTGAAGGATAATGGTGGTTTTATTCTATATTTATCAACAAATACCAAGAAAAGACCAAAACCAACAACGTATAGTATCCATCCTTGGATACTATACAACCCTTTGTCATTAGTGACTCTCGGCTGTGTAGTCTTTGTCTCAAATACAGGCGACTGGTTCACTCTGAAATAGGCAACGGATTTTCCTGAAAGAGCAGCACCGAGATGCTATTTGCTCGGCAGCACAGTTATGGGAACATTTCACCCTTTGTGGGTGCTTTGAGAATTACACCGTTTCTTTTCGTCTTATCGGTGCAGGTTTAGCGGCTGCAAAAGTCGTGCAGTCCTTTTGGGAGTTGGCCCGTCAGTAGTTTAGGCTGGTGAACACTGAACTGGCGTCTCGGACACCTTTGAATCATCGTCACTGACGGGTCGCGTGATTCTAACCTCTACATTTGTGGGATTGTTAGCAGAAAGAAGCGGTTTTAGTCCGCTCCTTTGTGGGAATTTTAAACATTAAACTTGCAACTTGTTTTTGTCACTTTGATGTTCCAGCCCTCATTTAAACCAAAAACCAATTGGAACTCTACTACCGGGTGGACTTTTCTTCCCGATAAACAATCCAGTTCTTCATCTTCTATTTAAATCTGTTGTTGTGTGAAACACTTTATTTCTTCTGCTACAAAGCTGAACCATAACAGATTTCACAAAGTTGTGATCCGTTATGTTTTAACACTTTTGTTGTTGTTCTCCCTCTCATCTGTTTTTTCAGTAAACATGTTATAATTGAACCTACTTTCATCAAAACTGTAATTCAGAAAATAGATGTGTCTGGTAATTGAGTTCCAGGAGAGACGCTTTCTCCTTCCAACAATATCGGTGTTCCATTATTACACTAGATGATCTTTAAGGGGGGGAAAGTAATCAAAAATCCACACAAACCAAGATAAATCCACTTCTATTCTGTGTGTGTGTGTGTGTGTGTGTGTGTGTGTGTGTGTGTGTGTGTGTTTGACCGCATGTGCCAGCTTCTGTGTCTGGGTGAAAGCTCTCAGAGATCAATAGTCTCACTTCCCATCTGCACCTCACTGTCTGTCACTCTGTTGCTCTGTGACGATTCGCTCTGACCAATCAGTAGTCTGCAGTGTTTTAACTCCACCTTCTAGTGTCGGTATTTAGTATATAGTGATACCACCGGGTGCTATCCACATCTATAAATCAAAGAAGTAAGTCGCACCACGCAGTGGAAGTGCTCCAGAGATGACATTAGAGCCTGTGAGAGGCTGTCGGTCTTTTTATTTACGACTAACTGTCTGTAGATGATGTATTGATGATCACATGTCCCCTTTAAGAACACACCTCGGTGCTAACCTTCTCTCACTCACATGCTCCTTCTGTGTTCCATCAGATCATGGACGGACTGGGAGAGAACGACCCGGATCTCGTCCCCGCCTCCCACCCTCGATTTTGCGAGGCCATCAAGACGGAGGAGGCGGCGGCGGCTTACAGCGCTCTGTTCACCAGAACATTCCACAACAAAACCTTCCACGTGTACCGGGTCAAGAAGAAACGCAAGAAGAGCACCAAGAGCTCGACGGAGCCCAGTGTGACCCAGTAGTGCGGGATCAGACAAAAACAAGACATCAAAGCACTGAATCCTCGCCGGTCCTCTGTCTCCTCTCTGCACTGTGCCCAGCTGTGATCATGCCCATTATTATTTTATTCTTTCTAACACATGGCTCTGTGAACTGTGGTGGTACAGCAGTGTGCCGGTTGAAGCTCGGGGCCGCATTGTTTTAGTTAGCGGAGCGTGGAAGGCTCCTGTAGGAGTCCGGCTTTGGGCCGCTCTGTCTGTAGCCCTTCTCCCAGCGCTCACTGGTGCAGATCAACAACCATAGCAACACTAATACGAGGCCTGTAAGCAGGCTGGAGCACCAGCAGCCACTCACAAGTCAGTGTCCATTCTGCAGCGCACCATGAAATGAACAAAATCCGTTGCTGCTCATGTTTTCTCTCATACAAGGTAGGGTTACCTCAGGGTTAATTCAGTAGAATTGATCAAATCAGAAAGAAAGAAAAATAAACTTAGTTTTGCTTTTCACACAGTTATTTATGACTTGTTATTTAAATGACATTTAAAGACTCAACACATTGTAATTCAAAAACATGTAGATATTTGGTACTGAGCTCTTCTTTGCCAATGAAAAGAGGGAAAAGATAAAAGATTTGTTGAGTTTCAAATCTCATGATTTTCAGTTTTCCTGTTATGAACATAAAGAGGTAGTTGTGTATAAACGGTAAACATTAGGGATCAAATGAGCTCTCGAGATGTGATAAACACAGGTGCACCTCCAGTTTATGAATGTGCCGTATCTGAACCATGGGCTCTTTGTAAATACTCCAGAAGTAGAACTAA